AGTTGGACAGCCACCATTTACAAGTTGCAATGTCCACCAAAGTAAAGTTGGACACCCGCCATTTACAAGTTGCAATGGTGTTTTTCATGCAGCCCTGTAAGGATCCGTGTGTTTTTCAAGTTAGAAACCACCAGGTTTTTTTCCATGTAAGGATCCCTGTTTTCTTTCTTCCATCTGCCATGAGGCCACGCGGCTGGTGTCCGACGCCTTGAGCAAGGCCAAGGACAACAAGGACCGCATCGCCCGGGGCCTCGGACGACTCGTTGGGGCAGGCAGTTGGACGTGTCTTGAAAAGCTTTTGGGGAAGATGAAATTACCAAGGGGTCTCCATGAGCCTCAAAAAATGAGTGGTCATTACCCTAAATGGGGTCATGGACAATTTTTTTTAAAAGGGTCATGGAGACTCCAGGTAGTGGTTCAGGAAGGGTTCACACTGTTCTGGGCAAATCCTCGTGAAGCAAGGCGCCTGGAGTTGGCAAACTTGAAATGTGTGTGTTTGTAGGTTGGCATACGTTAAACCAGGGCTCCCGCTGCAGGTAGGGGAAGCTTGAAGGGAACATCCTTTCCATCGGGCTCAATCGGCGGAGGCACGCGTAAGCTTCAGGCGTGCAACCATGACCCTGGGGCCCTGCCAAAGGTTAAGGTGCCGAAGGGTTCTTCGAGTACTAGGCTTGTACTGAACAGTCACACTTTTTTGAGTTGGTGCTGCCAAAGTGCTTTTGGGTGTACAAGCTTCGTACCGTGAAGGTGCAACCTTTGAATCGCAGCAACAATACAGGCGCTGTAAGATGTGTACATGCTAAGTTTACAAACTTGCATGGTTGCACTTTAAGTGGAGGTTTGATCCTTTTTAGCGGGATTCGTTGGATTGGAAGCAGCAATTGGAGCAGCGCCTTGTGTCACTAGCTGGGCTTTGCTGGTTGGCGCATCTCAATGCCCAGGCGAAGCGCGTCGCAACGGCAAAGCGATCCGAGAAGAGGGACGCGCTCTTCAAAAAGTACGACAAGGACTTTGCCAGCTGCCCCCCAAAACAGTTGTGTGTGTGTGTGTTGTGTGTTGTTTGTTGTATGTTGTATGTTGTTTGGTGCTGATAAAGCTGACCTTGAGGGGGCTCTACCAGAACCAAAGCAGACACTTCCGCGTGATCAAGCAAACCGACAGGCCAAAGGGGTACCTTTTTCCAACCTCTCCCCTTTCAGAAACAGGGGGGGACTTGCAGAAAACGCGGGATAACTTTTCAGCTGGTTCCGCATGTCTGCTGCTTTCGGCCCAGCATTCGAGAGCTCTGATTCTGCCAAGCACCAAGTGCCAGCCGCCGGGGGCCTCAGGGGCTTGGCTGCTGCGGGGCAGCGAAGTTGAACATGCGGGTCTGTCATGTTGTGATGTGGCTGCGGGTCAAGAGAATAGATTCTGAAAATGGAACCCTAGTGGACACATGGACTAACGCCTGTTTTTTTTTGGTGGTCTAATTTTGACACGTACGCGGGTTTGTCTCAGAATGGAAGCCCGTAGAAGAGGCGGGGCTTCTCTTTGCTTTTCCCTCAAAACCGTCCCAAAAAACAACCTCTGAGCTGAAAGGGCGTTTGGGGTGCCCTGAGTAAGCCAGTCGAAGAGGGAATTTTGCATCTTCAAAGACATTGTCGCAGTGGGACTATGAGCCTGCAGCCGGCTGTTTTGGCCCAGAGAGTATCCAGAGCGGAAATGGAGGAGTGGACCGGAAGCCGAACTGAGAATACTCTAAAGGCGACGGACTCCAGGACGAAGGATCGACGAAGGGCTCATGAAGGGTAGGATGTAAAGAGCAGGCACCCTTTGAGGGTCTAGTTTATGGGGAGCTCACCTGGGTTCTAAAGGAGCTCCCTCATGAAAGATCCTTAGCAGGGATTCTTGTTTCCATTCTCAAGGCGTGGCTTGGCTTTGGCTTTTGCATACGGTTTCCACTGCCCCCAACCTACTACTCCAGGGGAAGATGGGAGTATATACCCTACATTTACCATGACATGCGTGGATATACTTTGGTTGTATATGAACCCCCCTGGTGCCAGTGGTTCGGGTGGAAGCCGGCTTAGACAGGGCTTGAAGCCAAGGCTGAGCAATGCCTCCGCAGCAGCGCTTGCCCAAAGGAATCTTGCGGGGGACCCAGCCAAGGAACGATCGGACAGCCACCCTCAGGTTTGCCTTTGAAGCTCCCTTTAGGTTAACCAAGCCTAACGTGTTGACCTTTTTGCCCATCCCCAGACTATGTTTCGCCTGAACCAGCGATAGGATCTAACTTTTGGCAGGGCCAGACTTAACGTGCATGACCTGGCAAGGTCCTTTTGCCCTCAAGAGGCCATACCAGGGACACGCCAAAGAGGTTCCAACAAATAAAACAAATAGAATAGGAGGTTAAATAATTACTAATCGTTTTCTCTTGTAGTTTGGACCAAGCTTCGTTCTGCAGTTCCCCACCCATGCTCGTTTTGTAGGCCATAGTATCCAGGAGCCGGATGAAACGGCGCACAGAAATTTGCCTGTGGGTTATCGTTCGCACACCTTCCTGCCACCAAGGCCCAGGCTATCCTTCTGGTGCCACATCCCATGTTGGCGACTTATCATTCACCCGGAACATGTCGAATCCTCCAATGTTGATGGTTTGTTTGCCCCTTTCGAGGAGTTTGCCAAAGGCAAGGGTTGTTTCATGCGGGAGGCAAGCCAGCCTAAAGCCGATGCTTCTTCTTTTTTTCTCCCGGCTCCAGGCATATCCCCTTGGCGAAAGCCCGTCGCACCATCTGGTTCAGCCTCTTCGGACCATCGCCGTTTTTCAGAAGCGAATGGGTTTACCGGAGCAGAGGACCCTACAAATGGCTTGCACACGGTTTGATGATTGATTGTTCCATGTTCCCTTTTGTGGGGACTAGGCATGGAGTTGGGGCAAGGGGGATATGACAAGCGAAACCAATCCAACTGGGGAACGCACAGAATGTGTTTGCATGAATTGCCCGGGTTCTGCCGATATTTCAGGCTCTTTGTCCTTTGCATGTGTTCACTCAATGCAGTCTCTACGCATTGAACCAGTGTTAGTGGAGAATACATGGTGGAAAACTAAGAAGTCTGGTGGCTGGGCCAATCTCAGCTCAAGTTGCAGGTTGGGGTCCGGCATGCCGACATGACTCGAAGCTTGGAGCTGCAATCTTTTACTTGTTGCTTGGGCTAGTGGGGCTGGTCATCCAACCCCTTAAAAGAGAAGCTAGACAATTTCAAGGGTTTCTATTTGCAGTAATCTATGACCATAATCCAGATAAGTTTTTTTTTTTTTCCATGGCTCACTTGTGTGCGTCTACTGTCAAAGGTTTCGCTCCATCCCACCAACGTTAAACCCGCCAAGGGTCTCCACCTGGGTTTTTCTTCTTGCTGATGGGAAGGTCAACTTTTTGCGCAGATGGCAGCCACAAACTGGATCCTCAGGTCATAGATGTGTGAAAGGGGGACCTCCAATGAAGGTACCCTGGGCACAAGGAACATCATGTAGAAGTGCATCAACACATGGTTGTTGTTGGGAAACATTTTAACATGTTTGCCTATTGCGGTTTAGTGGGAAATCCCCACTTAACTGCTAAAACATTTTTTTTTGCTCCCCTTCCAACGTCAATCAAGGACAAGTCGAAGTACTTGAGCCAAATCAAGGCATAGCACCAGGGCTAGGTGGGGCCCACGGGTTTTTCCCATGAACATCTTGCGCAAGGCCCGATGGCATCGATGTGCCACCTGGGACGGCGCGGCACCCATGGGGAGGCCCTAAGGTGATTCACCCGAGGCTAATTCCTTAGGAAAGAAGGGGACGCGACCCTACAATCAAAGGGTACATCCCCGAAATCAGGAGTAAATGGCTACCAAGGCGTGAAGCCCTACAATGGAATGGTTCACCCCTACCGTCAAGGCCCTGCTGAAACGTCACAATCCAAGACTGAAACCCTACAATCAAATGGGAAAGGCCACGAACAAAGGGCAACGCGCTTCCCGAACTGAGCACCATGCCCAAAATCCCCCCCCCCCCCGCCTCCCCACGAGCATATCCCCAAGCATCCAAAACATCCAATTTGGTTCAAGCACCTGTTGTGTCCTCCTTTTGGTGCTGTACTTTCTGATCCGCCTGGTGACCAATGACTCTGCGATAAACCAGGCTCCTGCACAGTTGGGTCAAAGTTGCTGCGATTCCACCGTTGGTTGAGTCATCCCCTTTACCAGCGTTTGACCGGGACCTGTGTCATTTGCTTTCACGGAGGGGTCGAGCCGAGCATGGAGCCGGAAGGGGACCGCAGCGTTTCCTGCCACATGGGCCCTCCTTCGGGGCTTCGATGCGTGATTTGGGAGGGCATCCTTACCTTGCTCCCAGCCATCCGGTTCCTTAGCTTTCTATTTTTTTAGTGTTTAGTGGTAGTTTCCATTTGACCCACTAAGAGTTCGTCACTTTTAGCGGGGGGTCAGAAAACTTTGGGCAGCCCAGTTCGCTTAGGACATCATGCAGTTCTGCCGCGACCTCGCCGAAAGCCGCTGGCTTAGATTCCACTGGTTTCAGATGGGTTGGAATGAGTGGTGCCATGGACTAAAAGGACACCTATGGTTGGATGCTCAACGGCTTTAGGCTTTTGGAATCATCATGGAGCTTAAAGACATGGCTTCCCTTTCAGCACCAAAGGGTCCCATTTCTGGACACCTGAAAGGTCTTGTACCCGTGGGCTTGCCTTTCCAGTCTTGGTTGGGAGGGTTCACGAATTCGCTTGAGCCAACCCTCCACTTCCGGGAAGTTTTTGCGTCTTTCACCGGGACCCGGTTTTGGGCTTGGCGGAGCTTGCGCCCTGGCCCAATCGCCCCATCCGGCCGGTCCAATCGCCCACCGAGGCGGCGCGGAGTTCGCGGAGCAATTCGAGCGCGGCAACCCCAAGTTTCACAACGGCAATCCCATGGCCCGGGGGCCCAGGCAACTTGGGACGGCCCGCCGGGTCCGACACGAAGAGTTTTGGTCGTGGGAACTTGGTGCCTTTTTGGGGAAGGCCCGTTCAGTGGCAGACAAGATCGGAGTTTTCGGGGCCATCTCAGGAAGTGAGTACCGTTTTTTTTGTGGACCCCAAAACCTTTGTTTGGCCCATACACCAGGTAGAATGGAGGTCTTCGAACCAGGTTTGGGATTGCAAAAAAACACGGGGATGCCTCATCTTGCGCCCTTTGGGCGAGGCCGTGCCGCTGGGCGGCGCCCGGCTGCCGGACTCGCTGGCCTGCGGGGGGGTTGTGGCGGACACGCCGGGTTTGCCCCCCAACCCCCCCCCCCCCCCCCAATTTCCAGCGAGCTGGGGGTGCAACTAGCCGGGGCTGGAAGGCCTTTGCTTGGGGATCTGGATCCAATTCTTCTCAGGTTTTGGACTTGTCCGTGGAAATCGCAGGTGACCACGCGCAAATAGGTTGAGCTTCGTCCCCGGTCGACCATCCCTAAGCCGACAAAGCAGGTCTGTGGCACAACACGAGAGACCTGATCGGACATTTTTCCCATTGCGCATACCCTGAAAACCGCACAAATTACTACGACTCCCAAACTAGCAATTGGGGCTCCCTCGCTCGTTTCGGTGAGCTTGTCATAGTTTGCCCAGCTCAAATCAGTGGGTGCAACCCTGAAAGATGATGAGGCAACACGAGTCAGATCGGTGTCCCTGTGGCAAAATAGGTGCAGCGGCCAAACGATTAGAACCAATCTACATAATTAGAACCAATCCGAAACCAGTGAAAATCATCAGCAGATTTCAGGTGTGCCATGGTGAAATGAAGTTCCTCTTTCGGGGTTGCTAAAAATGGCGCAGCTGTTCCACTGCAATTCTGATATTTTCCGTGGAATCACTCGCAGCCCAGCATCTCAAGCCCAGCCACCCTGGTCTGGATGGGGACTGAGAGCTTCCTGCATTTTCACGTGTTGCCCGAAAAGAAGATGTGGCGCTTTCTGTTGCGATTGGTTGGATGGCGACTCCTTTCCGTTTCC